ACGCACCGGGGCAACCGGCTCTTAAGGGCTCCAGCTATTCACACGCAACTGTAATTCTTCGTCAAGGCCAATAGCAGGGAGCTCATGCTAGGACAAGTTCCCAGACCACACCCTAACAGACTTGTGGGAGTGGGTTCTCGGCGGGTTCGCTTGTCAGCTTAAGTTTGTCTCGACTCGACCCAATGGTGGTCTTCGGGTTTTGTCTGGACTTGAAGCTCTACGCTTCTAGTAGGTGCAAGGGCCGGAACATGAACTCAAACCACTCTGCTTAAGAACCCGTGGCTTTTGAGGACGTCCCCTTGTCTGTTTGCGGCCATACACAAAGAGTGATTGATAAGTTATAACGTTCACTTCTCCACCGAGACCGTGAGACCTCACATGCCCCTCCAAGGGCCTCGCGATGCGTTGACCGTGCGCGAGAACCTTTTCGAGGCGAGAACGGGTACTGAAGGACGTTTTTGTTGGTCTCACCGGTGAGGCCCGACACCTGGACTATCCACATGAGACCTGGCGCCGGCACCGGCACTCCAGATCCATAGGCTAGCCTAAAAATAGCCATCTCCAGACTGACTGGTGCAATAGGGGCCAAGTGAACTTCTCTCCCCCTGGTTGCCGTGCTCCCAGTATGTGAAACGAAAGCCAGTGGAAAAAAGTGCCGAAAGCCCCTGTGCCAACCCACCTTTCTGGCATGCTTTGCTTCTGGTGGTTTTGGTATTGATCAACCTGACGAAGACGCGAAGCGCATCACCCCGAGACGCTGGAAGGCCAGAACGCCCACGAGCCAGTTCTCTCATGCAAGGCAGGAGCCAAGGGAGGGGCCGCCCTGCGGCCTGAGATTTTGTGGCTGCGGGCTGGCTTGTTCGGAGATCCGTATCTAGTCCTCCATCCCTTATACTCTACGAATCAAGCCTGGATGGATTTCATTCACTTTCGGGGAACCTCAAGGCGAGACCATTGTGTCGCCTTTTAAAGGCGCTGCAACTCCACGCCGGCGCGTGGGCGGACTCCAGGCGCGTGATGCGACTGGTGTAGTTCATCGCCTCTTGAGTCGTTGTTGTGCCATAGTCGTCGCTCGAGTCTCAGTCTCAGCAATGACATCATGGCGCGAAAAAGAGGTGACCCAGCATGCACGGAGACGTGTCGGCGATGATACAACACTTGCACCCGAAATGGCCGTTGTTTGTGTAGACGCTTGATGTACCGGCGGTGTGTGATGGCCATCAAGCCCCAGAGGGTCACATGGCAGGCCCCATTGCTGCATCACTTCGTGCCGGAGCCTTGAAGAAGTGCGGCCGAAGAAACACCCGTGACTTTTCTCAGAAAACCAAGAAGCTACGGCCGGAGCGATCGGACGCTACGAACGTGGCTCCTGGCCTTACTACGAACGGAGTGATCGGACGCTACTAGAAGTGGTTGTAGGTCATGGCACCATCCAGGAGACCAACAGCTTGACCTGGAAGGTTCAAGGGGAACGTGGGCTCCAGGCTTTTGACCCGAAACCTTCACCGGGTCGAAGCCGCGAGCAGTGTGAACTGGAGGTCCAGAAAGAGAAACTTCGAGAGCTGGAGAAGCGCCTCAGGTTGGGGCGTTCTTTTGTTCTTCCTCCGGGTTTTTAGTGTGAGGAATGCCTAATCTGGAGGAGCAAGGGCATCCATAGGCCATAGGCATCCAAGGATGACGGATGACCCAAAGGATGGGTCAAGGGTAAACGGGTGCAAACGGTTTTGGGATGTTTTTTACTTGTTTTCTCTCTCCGGAACTTGAAACATCACCCAGGAACTGAGTAAAACATCTGAGTTTTGTCCAACAACGCATTCCAGGTGCCCCCGCGTGGAGCCTTTGGAGGACGTCTACGATCGAGGCAGGGAGATGGTGCTGGGCAGGCCTGGGAGGGGGATTAGTTCTTTGGCTTTAATGATGATGTTCTGTATGTATATATATATTATATATATATATATATATGTGTGTGTGTGTGTGTGCCACATTTTTTGGCCAGCTGCACTATTTAATATAGTTATGTCATAAGATATGTTTTCTCTTTGCATGAGGGATGAGGAGCTGAGCAAATTCCAGTGAATCCGATTTGGACGTCCGGACGCCGTGTGACGCATGGTGCCCTGCAGCCATGTGGCTCGTTGTGCTGCAGAAATTCATGGGGAAAGATCTTAACCCATTTCAGACGGACACGTTGGATTTCTTGCACATTGGGAATGTGGCAGTCTTCTTCCTGGTGATCTCAATTTGCAGGAAGATGTGCTGGCTGTTCTGACCTACATGGGTGCATGTTGCTGTTTTGATCGTCGCAAAGCACTCATTGTTCGATACTGAACGATTACAGTATGATTTGTATGACTTCGACGGATTTCCTTTATGCGACATGGGTGACCGGTGATCGCGAAAAGGCTTCCCCTTCTCCCATCCTCTCCCCCTCGTCCGCAGCTTCTTCATCCCTGCACCGGTTGCATGCTTTTTCTCGTGCTACGGGATCATTCAGCTCAACATCGAGGTGCAAGCAGGATGCTGATGAACACAAGTTCAATTTATCCGTGGGGTGGATGGTTTGGGGCTTGTTCCAAGTCAATATAGAGGCTGGTAGTGAGGCTGGTGACTTTCTTTTTGGTAGCGGCTGTGCCGTGGCACAGGCAACAGCCACCCAAGTCTAGCAAAAAAACCAAGCAAGTGACTGGTAGGCCCCACCAATGCCGCAAACACTAACTCCTATACCTACTCCACGCGACACTCCTTGATGGCGGATGGCCTCTTGATCCATGTGGGCAGCCCGGTGGGCGGGCAACAGGGCACTGGTGCGTTTGCTGCCCTTGCTGGGTTTGGTGCAGTGCTGGGAGATCAAAATTCCCGACTTCGTGGACTGTGCCTGGACAGCTTGGGCGGAAGTGGCTGAATTGGCTAAAATGCCGCCTTGAACACGGATTCTTTATGATTCTTTATAGTTTTTGTTCGTTTTGCGCTTCCTGCTGTGTGGGCGGCAAATATGTAGGAATCGGCACATTGGCGGAGGAGTGGGGTGGGTTTAGTTGGATTGTATCGATTGAAGGCACCAGGTTGGTGGACATGGAATGAATGGGCAATCTGAAAGATGCTTTGCGAGTCCTTCTTCTGGAGATGCCTTAACTCGCTCTCTACCCAAAGGAGCCCTGTTCTTCGTAGATTTGAAGGCGCCAAGATGCCAATGCTGCATTCGAGTGTCTATATCATAATATATCAACATATATCAACGTTGATGGACATATCCTTCCAATCTTGAAACATGTCGGAGCCGGCTCGTCCATTCAACGGAGATCCGTTGACCCGTTTTGGTTCCCAAAGATTTCCCAGAAGACCCATCCGACCTATCCGCTACAAACGGAGCAAGGATGCTACTAGTGGTTTCTGGCACTACTACTGGGAACAAGAAGCTGCTAGGAACAAAGGGCATCGCTACGAACTACGGAGAAAGAAGCTACTAGGTGGAGGCCATTTCCATTAGGGTGGAGGCCATTATGACTAGGAACAAGAAGCTACGAACGTAACAAAGAGCATCGCACCTAGGAGCAAAAAGCTACGGGCATCGCTCCTGGCATCGCTACTAGGAACCAACGGATTTCTTTGACATGTTGACCTTTTTCCCGCTGCCTACGCTGCCGTTTCAGGCACCGGCCCGACACAGAGTGACTGGCAGCCCTTGCGGTGGCTGTTTTCTCAACTGGGTCGCCCTGATCGGTTCCCAACCTTCCAGGAGGCACGTCCTGTCGGTCCGGTCCGGTGGACCCGGGTGACCTGGGTGGGGTGCGGCGTGGCGGCTTGGCCGACGCTGGTGACGGTGACACTGGTCATGGGGCACCTTCCAGGATAATGGGGTTTTGTTTTGGGTTGAGAAATTCAACTAACCGAGTCAGTTGTTGGGCCAGTCTGGCTTTGAAGTACGTAGGCTTTTGGGATCTTTTGGTGCATTCTCATCCCAGGATCACTCCTAAACTCTGGGCTGCTGAAGTATGCGAATGACCTATCACAAGCATTCACTAACAAGGTGCCGATGTGACCGATCACGCGATTCATCATTTCTCCAGCATGAGGGCCTGGATATGGGTATAGATGGGTGTGTGATGGGTATACATTCATATTGTGTATGTTGTAGATAAGATGGGCACGAGAGCAAAAGCGAAGAGAAGCTAGAGCACATGAGCTGGGCGAAGTATCATGAAACTTTACGTGAGGACCTCGAAATTGGTGCGCTGTAGGAGCAACAGTTAGAGGAACTCTAGAGATTAATTGTGGGCCATTTCGTTCGAGGGGATTGAGAGGGTGGGGATTGATTTGAACACATTTGATCAGGCTTAGGGGACGCGCGTGTGAGGAGGGGATAGCCATGTGTTTTTTTTTGGGGGGGTCATGTGGTGCAAGTCCCAACGACCGTTTTTCCAAAGGTTGCTTTCTTACAAAGGAACATCGAAATCCAAGCCGTTGAGCCAGATCCACACTCATCCCCAGTCAGGACCTGCAAAGACCTAATGTGTCTGGGAGATTTTTTGAGTTGTAAACACCTGGAGGATCTTCTTGATGAAGCCCATCGACTGTATCAGACACATGGCAGCACTTGGGCCGAAGAGGTCTGTAGGGACAGTCTGAAAATGGCTCTCTCCTTGGAAGGCATGGGTGTTTGTGTCAATCTGGGGATCCGACCGTTTTTATTAGAGTCACTACATCCCAGGCAAGATGCTGACACGTCAAAGGGACACAGGTTTGGCCGATCATTTCTCCCCATGTGACAAGTGCGGCACCCTTTACCCATCAGAGAAGTGGCTGTGGGTCAGAACTAGGATACGTTGGTTGACCTACCGACGAGACTTGCGCTACGAGACTTGCGCTCCGCGTCTGCGCTTCTCTCGGCCCTTCGTCATATGACGGGTACCAGAGAGTGTGGACAGTATACATCAAAACATGCACTATACAAAAGAACCAGCTAGCAATCTATCTAAGTGAAACCGCATATCCGCGCAACACAAAGGCAAAGTAGCTGGACGAGACAAAATCATGAACAGGGATTTTCATGAATGGCACCTGTTTGGGAACGGTCGGCGGGACCAATTGAGCGAGATCTGCCCCCTTATTCCAAAGATCGCGCAGTTTCTTACGAAAGTGGTAACACTGCGAGTACTCCAAATTGACCGTAGGTTCAACCTGCAACGACATTTGACAGTGATCCATTGGCACCAACCCCAGCGGGTGGTATGGCTGCTTGGTACCCAAGTTCTGTGCATAGAGTTGAAGTGTCTTTTGAACTGCCTGCGAATTACAAATCTTTGTGCACAAAGGGAATCCACCTGTGTAGGTTCTTTATTGGAGGCTGTTTTATGGAATTTCGGGTACAAAGGCGTGGCACTAAATCCTTGAAGATACTGTATGATATATCCTTGGTTGACCTACCTGGGAGGTCAAGCTACATGGTGTTGGAGCTTCAGTTTTTGACCCATCCCCATATGATTGCTGATCTTCAAGTGCTGGAGTTGGCGCCCGCTCACGCACACCCGAGCCCGCAGTTTCTCCGCAGGAAGTGGTACGTGAGCCTGCCCGTGGGGACGGAGGACTATCCCGGCGGGGCGGCCGCCTTCTATCACTCCTGCCACTTTGGGGAGCCCACAGAGTACTGCCCCTTGCGGTAAGCGCCCGCGTTGTGGAGTGGCGTGTGGCAGAAGCAGAGGGGGCTGGACGGGTGATCGCTGGAAGGGGCATTGCGGCATTGTTCTCCAGAGATGTGCACAAGAGGGATTGTGCTTAGCAATGATCCTGATATAGATAGATAGATGGATAGATAGATAGATAGATTTGTTTAATTCATTTTTTCCTGATTCATCCTGTGCACCCCTTCACAGCTAAAGTCACGACAGGAACAACTCCACACGACTTATCTCTTGGGGTTCGCAGAATCCACTGCCCTTTTCTGCCACCCGAGGCCTCTATGGCCACTTAGCGGCGCTGACTTATTTGGCGAAACACTTGGCCGACGTGCAATACCGGGTGACCTTGGCACGCCAGGCGATGCGGCTACTGCACTGGAGCCTTGTCTTCCTTGATTTGGAACTGAAAAGATCATATTACATGGTGTCTTCCTGGGTACATAATTGGTTCGACATTGGGGGCACCAAAACCATGAACATCCTGTAGGTGATGTTTCGCAATGGTCAGGGGAACGCTCGTTGGGAGTGGTACGAAGATAGATGTACTAGCCATGACCATTGGCAAGTGTAGTGGGATGTTCAGAGAGGGGCAGTTCTTGCACATTTCCCCGGGCATCCTGCCAGAGCGTACTCAATGTTTGGCACACCAAGACACGGCATACATCGTAAGGCTACTCCCATTCCCACTATATAGGAGGTCGGTAGAACAGGTTCATATTTTGTGGTAAGCTGCTTCTACCAACCATTCTCCTCCTCCATTAGTAGCGATGGGGCCACGAAACAAATCCAATTCATCATTGGTCACTGGTACGTCTTTCTCCCTGCAGCCAGTCATGGAAGGAACCTTTGCCTGGACTTCTTAGAGTCCTCTACATGGGCGCGAGGGTGGTGGGGACGAACACCCCCACCGTGCCTTTTGGCGCTTCGGTCTGGGTGGCGGAGGGTCTCGAGAGATTTAGGGCTGTCTCTTCGGGCAGGAGCCTTCCTTGCCAGGACCAGACCCTCTCCAAGCCATGGATGGACTTTTTACCTTCCCAGAAGTTGGAGGGTTTGTCAGTCGGACAATTTGGCTCAGATTGCTTTGAGTCCATCCTTTTGAACTACAAGTGGGTTAAACCAAGACCTTCGGCCCTGGTTTAGGCTGGCACGAGTGGATTTTTTGATGGCCCAAGCGTTTTGGCAAAAACCATGCTCCACTTGGTAGAGGAAGATTACCTACCAACTGGTTTGGGGGTCATGTTGGCGTGCTTTCTGCCAAGAAACCCTGTGGTTGGTCCACCCAGACCAACCAGCTCCCTCACACCGGCATTGCCCAGCTCTTCCACACTTAACTCCAAGCACCCACCAACTTGGCTTGGTCTTTTGGAGACGAGTGCCCAAGAATTCTCGGACCACAACACGTGCTCACCATCTTTGTTACAACTCCCAGCTCAAGTAGCCGACGTGTTGCTTGGCCAGGCTGCCTGGGGTTTCACTATACTCAGCCTTTGGGACATTGTCGAGAACTTCGCTTATCCACAGGCCAGCGGCATACCCCTGTTTGCACAAGAGGAAGTCCCGTTGTCAGAACGCTTCACAACCTGGACCTAAAATATGCAGTCAGCAGCTTACATGAAAGACATCAAAGAATCCCTTCACTGCTCCTACTCACGACCAGTGATGACATGTCCAGCATCCCATGCAAACACCTCGGAGCTGTCGGAACCCTGGGTTTGTCGCGCATGAGGTCCTCCAAGCTTCGTCGTGTTCCTCCATGTTCCATGCTCCGAACGCTCGCGGCCAGCTCCCCACCCATCTCCCAGCTCGCTCCCCGCGCGCTGGCGCGCTCCCCATCAGACTCTGGAGACTCTGGGGGCTTTCAGCCGAGGTCTCCATTCTGCACCAGTTCCTGGAGTGGGGTCAGGTGCAGCCTCCCGACCTCGGTCACCTGGGTCGCCTTGCACCACCGCTGATGGTCCCGCCAGTCCGCGACTCTGACTCGCGAGACGAGCGGCCGGGCTTCTGGGTCTTTGAGTTGGGCTCCCACCGGGCCCTCTCCAACGAGCCCATTGTGACGTGGCAGTAGGTTGGGGGGGTAGATGGGGCTTAGGTTGGGTTAGGTTGGAGTTGGTGTGGAGTGTTCTACTGGGACGATGCCTCTTGAGGTGCCCTGGTGCTCTTGGTGTCCTCCCTTGGAATTTATGGCCGTTTTTGACTTACACCAATTTGCGGGTGAGCTGGCTCTGTGCTCTTGAGCTTGTCCATCTCTTTCTCAAGCTGTTTACATTGAATGACCATATATGACCATGCTTGGCATGCTTTGGCAATGTGGGGGCGTTTCAAGTGTAATATGTGAACTCTGCCAGGTATATAGATTATTGCCAGGCCTATAGAAATAGAATATTGCAAGGCCAATTTTCATTGGTAACTGCTTGGCGGCTGGGCACATGTTCGATGGGTGAATCCCAGACTCCGGTTGTCACATGGAGGTCTACGCAGGTCGCCCTTTCTTAAAGACAGTTCCAACATCATCTATAAATATCCACAACATGAGCTTGTCGCTTTATCTTTTTTGGGGGGAGCTGCTGAAGCCAAAGATGTTAGCTTTGTGCCTTGTTGCATGGGCGTCGTTTCTGGCTGCTTGCACAAGGCAGCCATTGTGTTGCAGAGCTTGGTTTCATGTTTTGAGATGTAACGGGCCCTGAACACCCCGCCGTGCTTCGCCCCGCCGACCCATTTGGGAGCCTCCAGGCGATGCTGAGCGAAGCCTTACCAGGATCTTGGGGAGAGGTTTGGGGTTGCCGGATGGGATGTAGATGGCACCCCTTCCAGAAACATAGAAAGATGCAAACCATTGCAGATGTTGAGAAGATGAAGCTGATTTCATTTGGTCAAGTAAGCTTGTTATTTGGCAAAGGGCATGCCAAGGGCCAGTTGGCATGCAAAAATGAGTTCGTATGAACTCTTTTGCAAAGACAACTGGTCTTCTGAGGGTTTGTCTATGGGTTCATTCGACATGACTCTGACTGACAGGTGGTGCAAAAAGCGCAAGAACAAACACTTCGGAATACTGTTGACACTTTTGATTTCATTTTGCAGTTGAGGACACGATGTTGCACACCAGAACTTCGTGAAACCCTACGAAGGGAGGGCAGAAGCCTTCATCCATCCCTTCCCGCAGAGCTGCAGCCCCAACTGCCCTCACCAGTTTCTCGGCGGTGATGCAAATGTTCTGAACATAAATCTGCTGGGGTCGCAGAATTTCTTTGGGGTCGCTCGCCGCGTCTCGCTTTAGGCTGGTAGACGCGATCACTTGGACAGCAGGGCATAGAAAAAGAACAGCTACCCGTGCTTGAATCAGATTGCACAACTTAACACCAATGCACCATACCTTTAATTATTGCACCATCTACCGCAGATGTTTGGCACACTGACCTACGTAACCAACATCAAAGCCACACGTGAAGAAGGTTGCAGAGAAAGCACGCGATGATTTCTTTGGGCGTCCGATCCTCTATATTAACTTTGATTGAGCAGTGCATTTTATTTGGACAGCTTTCCTGTTCAGACCTTGCGAAACTGTTGTGCGACCTCCATACCAAAGGAACCCGTTTTCATTTGTTCAGGTTTCTCTCCGGGTGCCGGGCATCTCTTTGGATATGGTGTTCCTGGGTTTCACATTCGCATCCAGGCAAGAGAGTGTGCCCTATAGCTTCCCCATCTTCATGGACATGGAACAATCCAAACAGGACTTTCATGCATGGATGCTGGGCTGCTCGGTCAGAGATGTGGAAGATTGCTTTGACGCTCCGAAGCAAAGGAACATGGGAGTGAAATCTCATGTGTTCTCCGACGGGGGAGGGGTGGGGTGGGGTGTGTGGGGTGTGGCCACCATCACGCCACTGGGCTCGGAGTCGGTGAATCTCATGACCCGAGATCAGGCGTCGATGCCTTGGCGCGGAAAGCCTTTTCTTCCCAGACTTGGTAGCGGAATTCCACAAATCTGTGGTTCTCGCTGCCCAGGCAACTATTTGAACAAGCCCGAGATCAGCCGCTCGAGCATTTTCCTGTGCACGAACCCCATCTACTATTGCAACTTCTTCGTGGGACTGAACAAGACCATCTTGGGGTATTTTGGCTTGCCCTTACTCTACATGGTGCCGCACAAGGATTGGTCCAGGCGCGATGGTTGGGATAGGTCAGCGCGGGTCAGCGCGAACCGGCCGGTCTGGCGCGAGGTCGTTTCAGCGAATGTCCCGATGTTGGGCGAAGCTTGGGAGAAGCATCGCAGACAGAGACATAAAGCAGAATGGAAAACACTCCGGCTGTGGTCGCAGACAGACACTTCTCCATTGGCAGCCATCACATCTCATTGGAGTGCATGGTGGCCTAGGGGGTTGAAGATGTTTCAGGATTGTTTCGGGTAAACTTGCTTCCCCCTCACCTTCAGGTGGCTCGATGATTTCATAGAGCTTGCTGCCTTGCCCAGCAGCCTTTTCGTGTCCAATAACCCGCTTCATTCAGCGCAGGCCGGGGCGGAACACAGGGAGGTGGATGATTTCCAGAACACTTGGAGGGTTGCATGAGCTATTCTACTGCCATGTGCATCCACATCTATATATGGATCTTCACCTTCTGCGACCGAAAGTGTCCGATGCTCCTGGCAATTTGTGGCTGATCACTACGATGAGCCAAGAGCAGAAGACTTGGGACCTCACAAACAGCAAAGCTCTGGTTCTGGCATATCTTCAGTGTGTGAATCTTGTTTTAGAATTGTTTCGGATATCAGCCGATGAACCTGAGGCCGAAACCCATAAAACCCCTGCAGCGTGCAATTCCTCATTCCGCGCAGCGCTGGCACAGGTGGACTGGCAGAGCGGCGTGCGGCTGCCAGTGTTGCGTCCAGTGGCATTATACATCACCGAGCGGTTTCGCCCGGAACGGCTGCAGGAGGTCTTGGTACCTGAGCCAAGGGAGGCATGTGCGCCTCGGATGTTGAGTGGGATCAGGTGGGAGGGGGCTAGTGGGGCTGAGCTGCATGGAGTCAGAGTGGATGTGCGAAGGAAAATGTTGATGGCCAATGATGTCCTTTTGCCCAGGCGGGCTTTGTGATCTTTGTGTTGGGCAACGCAAGGACCCACAAACCAAGCACTTTGCCCGAAAAGTGTTGCCAGTGCTTGATGCGTCCCTTCTTTCAGAAGCCCAGATTGTGAAGCAAGAGGGTTGCCTTGCAACATCTTGCAACCCGAATGCCAGAGCAGTGAGTACGAAAGACGGTTGAACACCCCCACATACATCCAGGGTCGCGCTTTTTTTTTTCCTCCGGAGTTGCTAAGGGCGCCTTGGCCAACCCAGACCCAGCAACATTGCTCTAGCCGATCATTGAAAAGCATTCCAAGTGTTTCCTTTTTTCTGTTTAAAAAGCCACGCGTTGATGGGTCTGTGTACTTTGGGCCATGCCTTCATGTGGCTCTATGTTGTTAATGATGGGCCATGCCTATTCGGGCACGTTTCGCTTAGGGCGTGCGGGTGGTAAGGGGGGCTCTTTTCGCTCACAGGCGGCTACATATGTCGTCACCTGCGTTGATGTGGGCGGTTTCCCGCGACCCCAAGAGGGGGGTCATATATGGCACAGACCTCAAGATGTCCTTGACGGGGAGGTTCATATAAACCACCTCCTGGGGTCTGTGCCATCTACTCTCAATCCACTATTATATATATAATATATATTACTTTGTTGATGGATGTCCAGCTAAAAGCATTGAACACCTTAAATCTTTGTAGACATTTGACTGTGAGATGAACTTATTTGTCAATGTGTATGGTCGGAGTCCCTTGCACCCTCCCTGAATTCACTGTATGAAGGACAGCGAGACCGGTGCCAGGGGTGTACCCTGAGACCCCGGGGCCGGAGACGGACCGATGTCCGGTGGACGACGAGCACGGCTGATGCGCTCCCTGGAACGAGCGAACGCTCAGGTGCTCTACTGCATGCTGCGGGCGTTCACCCCTGAGGAGGGTGGAGATGGGGCCGGCAGCGGTTGAAGAGTGAAGGTTTAGAACCGCCCAATGCGGGGTGGTAGACGGAGATAGTAACAGACCTGGTTTGGATCACAGGCGGGAGGGTGCATGGCGTCCTAAACCCGCCAGGACGGGCTCCAATCGGAACACATTCTGCTGATTCGGGTGTTTTCTTTCGCTTGATCTGATGTCCCACCCTTACACAAACAGACGATCCCTCGCAAGTTGATCCCTTGCCACGTGGGGAGCCGACGAACTTGGAGGAACATGTGAATTGGCCACAGACAGACAAACCCTCGGAAAAAAGAACCAACAAACATGAAACGGAAAAACACAACACAAACACGTACGACATAATGACATCATGACGAATATGTTTTTCCTTCTCTACCAAGTGCCAAGTGCTGGTGACCTGGCAGGGATATCCCTTCCACTTCCTGGGGAAGGCTGACACCGACCGAAGCTACCAGACCTTCTCCACCTTCCGCTCGGTGGTCTTGAGCCTTGGTCGGGTTTCACGAAGGAGGCGGAAGGACAGGGAGAGGGTCGAAGGGGCGGAACCAGTGGGTTGGGAGTTGTGGAGCATACTCTGGCCCTTGGATGTAAATCAATGCACTCGAAAAATCCTTGTGCCTTCAGACCGACCGCCGGCCGCTGCCGTTGTTCCAGTTCAGGCTTTTGCACAATGTAAACCAATCGCACCTTCATTTGCACCCCTTTTTTGTGGGGGACTGCTTTGGTAAGTTTCACGGCGAGATGTGCTGCGCCAATCACATTCTTGGCAGATGTTCCCTTAGACCATGTATGTCGCTTATCGACAGAGATGTGTCACCGCTACTAGTAGCAAGAAGCTACTACTGTAGGAGCTCCTGGCCTCGCGACTCGAACGGAGCAAGGACCTATATATAGCTTACGTAACACAGGGCCTCGCGTTTTTTGAACGGAGCGCTCGGATGCGAGCGGAGGCCGTGAACATCCAAGCACTGGCAAACAGAAGCGACCAAAAGCGCGTCCTCAGAATCCCACAGAGGGTCCAAGGAACAGAGTGGCCGAATGGCGACAGGGATCTAGATGTACCGCGTAAGATTTTTTTTGGGGAGGCTTTTTGAACATCGGAGTCCGCAGGTGATGTAAGAAAATGCCAGGGATTTACTTGTACATATATAAGGTAAAGGTAAAGAACCATGCATTCGGGACATTTCGTAGCTCGTGGGTCCGTATTTATGCCCCTCCTCACCCGCGTTTTCAAATCCCAAGACGTGCAGCGGCCCAGCGGCCCATGAGGTATCCGCACGACTTTGCACTCATGACCTTTTACGAGCTGCTGGGATTCAGGGCTGAAACGGCAGTGGGCCCACCCGCCCTACGGAAAGAGTAAAAGGTCAGGGAGAGTAGGTTTGGCGGCATGCAAAGATCAAAGGGAAACACTGGCGGCCCCTTGAATAGGCAGAGTCTGGCAGAGTTTAGATAAAGAAGGACCGAGGAAAGCGAGCGGCTTGCACTTAACAAGTTCAGTATGAGACAATATGCGACGTCAATCCTTCGTTTGGGCACAGCAGGTGTTGGCACTGGTAGGTTTGTGATTTTCACAACTACTTTCTTTTTTCCTCACCACGTGGTCCAAACACCCAATTTGCCATTTCGTGTCGTGGTGTCCCTTGAGTGGATTGTATGGAAAGCGTTCATGGCCTGCCTTCTCTTCATGCCTCTCTTGAGGTTCTATGCCATGGGAATGCCTCTCTTCATGCCTTCGCACATGTCGAAGCTTGGGACTTTTGAGAGGTTGGCATTTTCCCAAGAAGATGCACGGGAAGCATCATGTTCCTGGAATGGGGAAATGGCATCTCATTGATCGCAACCGTCGCAACCGTCGCCTGTGCCTTTTTTGCAATCTTTGGGGTGACGAACCTTCACAACTGGCTCTTCTGTCAGAGGTTGGGCGGTGCATTGTTGGAAGGTCTATGAATCTTTTTGTGTATCATTACTCCGGTTTTGTCCACTGCCTTTTGCCTTCTGGATGAGTCTATATCAAGATCACTTGAGGACCACATCCTAGCTCAGGAAATATTTGTTTCCTTTTAGCGCTTCAGTGGCCATGTTGGATTGGGTACCTGATGACTTGCGAAGTGCGCCGGACCCTCGGCAGACAGGGGGGGGCGGAATCGGCGTCCTTGCGCGGGGCTCCTTGGGGTTGGACTGCAGAACACTCAGTGTTCTCCATGATGTCAGTAGCTGTGGTCCATGATGTTTCATGACATCCCCTCACATTGCAGTTCCCATGACCATGAGAGTTACAGTGACACTGAAGTTCACCGCCTTTTCATCGCGACGTGATCCGAACGCAGAAACCACCCAACCCACCGCACGCATCCCCCATCCCCCGGAAATCGACCATTCTGCCCATTGGGCCCGTCTCAATAGAATCCACACCCGGTATCAATGGGACACAGCTTAAGAGCCTACAAAGGTCATGTCATCGTGTCATCTTCCTCATCCTTTCTTGGGCTCCTTGCCGTGGCCGGGCAAGCCGAAGGAGCGTCCGCCCTTCTCGCCCTTGAGCCTCACCAGCTCGGCAGCTCTGCACTTCTGGCGGCCGCAGATCGACTTCTTCGCGCTGCCAGCGGTGCAGCTCTTCGGCAGCTTGGCGGAGCTGCTGGTCTTGCTGCCGGAGGCCGGGGATCCGGACAATCAGAAACTTCACTTGGCCAGCCATTTGGGGCAAAGAGTTGTCTTGCCAGAACCCCCTTCAACGAAGTGTAGGAGTTCCTGCATGCTCTTGGATTGTAAGGCCCTTGCAATCCTTCTGAGGCCGATCTCATGGCCATTAGCCGAAAGATGCAGGAGAATCGGAAGGCCAGGCTTGAAAGTGCCTGGCTCCAATTTCGATGTGTTAGTTTTCACCGTGTCCGGGGCTTTCGCGTTTTGGGAGGGGGCACCTGGCACCAGGTTTCTCGAGACCCGTTCGCACCGGGTTTGAGGTTCCGCCACTCTGCCAGCACGCACCCTCCACCGAGCTGTCAACCCTGAAGATCGACCCCACGAAGCCCACGCAGCCCATGTGCGATCTGACGAGTTTATGAGCCCATTTTCACATCGTAGGGCGCAGAACCTTCAGCCTTCAGCTTTCTGAAACGGAACCCCTTTTCAGCCACAAAACCACAGAGGATTCACGTGGGAACCCCGCCCAGTCAGAGCCCAGCCCCCAATCCTAAGGTGGAGCGGCTTTCTGGCACTCCGTGGCCAAAGCAGCCGCGAGAGATCGTCAGCCAATGTGAGAAAAAGAAGTGTCAAGACTGAGTGGTGCAAGCCCTCGTGGACTCCTCCATTGAGAGTCTTTCACGTGCTTCGCCAGGTTTGTGGAGGTCAAGGTGTATGTTGAGCACGGGACGGGGGGGAAACCGAATGCTTTTGTGGGCGGAAACCGAATGCCACGCCCGATTCATCAGGCCCAGAACTGCCCGAAGTTTTCTCCCTCGGTGCCCGAACTCCCCCCCATGGTGGCCCTGATGTTGGGGCAAGTTTTTGTTTGAAAGTGCGCCGGGGCGGTGCTGGACACCTGCCATTGATTTGCAAGGGTTTTTATTGCCGCAGGACACCAATTTCTTGGCGCCATGCATGGACAGGGGGCACTCCCACAACACCTCGTAAAGGATTGATCTCTAAACTTAAGCAACATGAGCACCGAGTCCAACAGTTCGAGAAACTTGCCGTTTTAGGGAACAACTCCCAGTTTGCTTCAGGTTCGTTGCATTGTTCATCCTTGGATTTCTTTGCTTACTTTTTGGTTCCTTTACTTCAGTGGCTCATGTTTTGGAGGTATCTCGACATGTGCAACATTCTAGGACAAATCCGAGGGGTGTTCTTGGAGGCGTAGGTGTAGAACCTTCAGCTGGCGGGGGCTTCCTTGAACATATCCCTTGGAAGATCTGTTAACGTTCTGTTCCTTTCTGTTCGCGTTCGCATCCTACCACCAGCACCTCCAACAGGTTCCCTCTCCAATTGTCTTAGGTTATTTAAGTCTCACCAGTGACCACCTGAGAGACGTGCCATTTCCAGTCCCAGTAGGGATCGACCAGAATCAGTTCCACTATGTTCCACTAGAGACTAGGAACAAGTGCGGCCCCATGCGTAACAAGAAGCTAGTAACGAACGGGGCATAGCCTAGCCAACCGAACGGAGCGGTCGGACGCGAACCGCACGGGGCGCTCCTGGCCTTACCTACGAAACGTAACTAAGAAGCTACTAGTTTCTTCTTGCTACTAGTAGCTTCTTGTTACTACTAGTAAGGCACTTGTTACGTTCGTAGCGATGCACTTGTTACGTTCGTAGCGTCCTTGTTACTACTCATAATGCGCTTGTTAATAGCGATGCCCCTGTGATGTTCGTGACTCGAACGGAGCGACCAGGGGGCATTGCCCGGTTCCTGGAGGAGATCGCCGTGCGCATCGATCGGGTGGGTGCGCGATTGCAGGCGAGGACGGTGGTTATCGCGGGAGGGGAGGGGGTAGGGGGTGGAGGTAGAAGGCAGGAGTGGAGGGGTGGATGTAGGTAACTATGTAGGCAACTATCAGGTCGACGTCGGCAGAAAAGGCGTACAGAATCTTACAGACCAGTTCAGAGAAATAGGTGTGGATCCTTTCAAGACAGAAAGGATATGGGACCCATTGGCAGTGATGCAAGAGAGAGCCTGTAGCTGGCAAGGTCTTGCAACCGGAAAGGCTTGGCACCTTGGCACTTGACCCCCAGCATGGTGTCACATGTGCAGCACAGGGCAGGGGCCCTTTGAAGGCAGGTTCACCCAATTTCTAGGCAGAATGAATGATGGTTGATCTAGCGAGGAAGCCTGTCGGGTCTGTCCTGTCTGGGGATCGCATTGCTGTGCAGGTGCTGGATGGCTTGCCAGCCAGTCGCAGGATGTGCGGGAGCTGGGCAAGATGGATAGGGAGATGGTTCTGCTCCCCCACAACTGAAGAGAGTCCCTGTTTAAGAATTGAATCGCAACAAACCAATTGCCTCCCCCTCATGAATATAATTACTGTATATGAAACTGTATGAATACATGTGTTTTTCCCGAAAGCACCTGCGAAGGGTTTTTCCTTAAGCACTGCTGCCTATTTCATCTTCCTTAATCTCTTTCTCTTACTTCATCTTCCCCACTCTCTCTTCCTTACTCTCTTTCTCTTACTTCATCTTCCCCACTCTCTCTTCCTGACTCTCTTTATCCTACTTCACCTTCCTTACTTCATATTCTTTACTAACTTTCTCCTACTTCACCCTCACAACATCATCATCTAATCATCACCTCATAGGTTATTAATCTCATATCATATCATATTATATCATATCAGGTTATAATATCATATCACATCACATCAATGTCATAACATATCATATCATATCATGTTTTAATATCATATCACATCACATCAATGTCAGATCATATCATCTCATATCATGTGATAAAATAATATCACATCACAACATAACATATGAAGTAGAAGTATCAGATCAACAATATCAAAGTACATCAGAAGTAGATATTGATAGGTAGGTATTGATAAGTGGGTATAGACAGGTAGGTGTAGGTAGGTAGGTGTAGATAGGTAGGTGAAGATAGGTAGGTGAAGATAGGTAGGTGTAGACATCTTCCTTAAGACACCTACCCAACTTCACCTACCCAACTTCTTCTTTATTCTTCTCTTTAGGCGGCGGGGCGGTGCGAGCAGGTCTTACGAAACGCAACCCTCTCGTGGAATCGTGGCCATCGATCGCGCGCGCGTGTGGTGAGACGCGAATCGCGTTTGTCCGTGAGCAACCCTCTGCGGAGATCGTGCGTGTCGATCGCGCGAACGTGTGGTGAAACGTACATTTTTGGTGTGCGCGGTGCGTTCCGCCATTATAATTCTGGTGACAAGGTTTTGTCGATTTTGCGTTTCCCCATTGTAATTCTGGTTTCAAGGTTTGCCCTCGAGCAACCCTCTGCGGAGATCGTGCGTGTCGAGTGCACGAACGTGTGGTGAAACGTACATTTTGTCTGAGCGCGGCTGGGCGCACCATTATAATTCTGGTCACAAGGATGTCGCCAATGTGCGGTCCGGACCGCATACTCATTGGGAAATGCGATTCCAAGGTCTGTGCCCGGTCTGTGCCCGGATCGTTCCCCCATTATAGTTCTGGTCGCAATGATGTCGTGAATGTCACCTCTGAACTTTCTACAATGCGCGCTCTGGACGTCATACTCGTTGGGAACCGCGATTTCATGGTTTGTGCTCGGATCGTTTCCCCATTGTAATTCTGGTCACAACGATGTCTCCAATGTGTGCTGTGGACTTCATACTCGTTGGGAAATGCGATTCCATGGTCTGTGCCCGGAGCGTTCCCCCATTGTAATTCTGGCTCGAAGGTGTTCCTGTGTCATCGCTCGGAGCGTAGTTACATTGTGTTTTGCAAGCTTTGGTTGCTAATCGCCTTATAGTTCTGGCTCGAAGGTGTTCCTGTGTCATCGTTTGGTGCGCAGTTACGTGGTGTTTTGCAAGCTTTGGTTGCTAATCGCCTTATAATTGCTACTGCAATGGTTTCCAACGTACTTTTTTCCAAGTTTTGCCGCTTTCATTTTTCTTATAAATCTCTTTTAAAAAACGCTTCGAAATCGCAATTTTTGGAGCTTGGACGTCGAGATCTGGTTTTGGGAGGCTATTCTCTGTGCTTGCGGTGCGCAGTTACATGGTGTTTTGCAATCTTTGGTTGCTAATCGCCTTATAGTTCTGGCTCGAAGGTGTTCCTGTGTCATCGTTCGGTGCGTAGTTACATGGTGTTTTACACGCTTTGGTTGCTATTCGCCTTATAGTTCTGGCTCGAAGGTGTTCCTGTGTCATCGTTCAGTGCGTAGTTACGTGGTGTTTTGCAATCTTTTGTTGCTAATCGCCTTATAATTGCTGCTGCAATGGTTTCCACCATGTCTGGTGTAAACCATGTCTGGTGTAAACGGTGTCTGGTGTAAACGCTGTCTGGTGTAAACTGTCTATGGTGTAAACTTTTTCTGGTGTAAACCTTTGTTGGCTTTGTCTGGTGTAAACGACGTCTGGTGTAAACCGTGTCTGGTGTATACGGTGTCTGGTGTAAACGCTGTCTGGTGTAAACTGTCTCTGCTGTAAACTCTTTCTGGTGTAAACCTTTGTCGGTTTTGTCTGGTGTAAACCTCGTCTGCGGTAAGACCTTTTTGTCTGGTGTAAACGGTGTCCGGTGTAAACGCTGTCTGGTGTAAACTGTCTCTGCTGTAAACTCTTTCTGGTGTAAACCTTTGTTGGCCTTGTCTGGTGTAAACGACGTCTGGTGTAAACCGTGTCTGGTGTATAGACGGTGTCTGGTGTAATCGATGTCTGGTGTAAACTCTTCTCTGGTGTAAACCTTTGTCGGCTTTGTCTGGTGTAAACTTTTCCATGGTTACTTCGTCTGGCGTAAACAACGTGTGGTGTAAACCGTGCCTGGCGACATGCACCATCATCATCATTATCATCATCATCATCATCACCTTCATCATCATCATCATCAGCATCATCATCATCCTCATCATCATCATCCTTATCATCCACATCATCATCATCATCATTATCATCATCATCGTCGTCAGCACCATCATCATCATCATCATCATTACCAGCAGCTACGTCATTGCAATCGTCATCGACCTCATCGTTAGCTCATGATCACAATAGCATATCACGGGCGTATCGTGAGATCATCATCTCATGGCACATCATATTTTCATATTTGATGTCATGTCATATTTTCTTTCACGGCATGAGAGTTACATGTGTTTCAGGTTGTGTTGTATTTGTATACTTGGCTTGAAATAGACCCAGCTGACTCGATGTGTTATTGTAGCTGATTGGATTTTTTCCGTCGTTTGCATCGGCATGACGGTGACGGCTTTAGCATGATCAGCATCAGATTTGTTGTTACAGCTGCTTGATTTTTTTCCTTTGTTGGCATCATCATGACGGTGACAGCTTTTAACATGATCAGCATCATTGACCTTTGTGTCGTATGGCTCGAAGGCAAGTGGACTCGCTTATTCTCGATCGACGGTCGGCAGAATCCGATCCGTGTGGTCGGTAGGGTTCATGAACCAAACGTATCTTTATACATAGATCAGTGGCGTTGGCGCGAGACCGCGAGTTGTGCGAATCTCGCCAGCACAGCCAATTCAACCGTGCGATCAATGGAGCTCATGAAACAAACGTATCTTACGTAGGTACCATCGACTTTATACATA